GTGTAGGTGTGCCGAATGTTTGGGATGCCATTCCCTGTTTCACTGGTGCACGTAATGGAACGCTCACGTCTAACAATGCACTCGCCAACTTGGAGAGATGAGATCCCGTTTCTCATTCCTTTTTCAGTAGAGCTGGGTGCCCACTTAGTGAGCATACAACCGAAGGAATTCTGGTCGCTCGACTGGTGGTGGTCATATTCAGCCCTGTGCAACCTGATCTGACCTGACTGTGTTTTAATACGTCAGCTGATATCGTAACTATGTGAACTGAAGGACGACGACAGATACGCATACGAATGGAAAAATCATCGTGTGATAATACGTTAGTACTTTGTCGACAATCGTGCTATGAACAGTCGCGGAAAAATGTGAAAATTGCGACAAAGCTGAAATTCACCGATGAAGTAAGACATTTAGTTTCACACAGAGTCAGTAGCTGCAGTTTATATATATATGTATATATATGTATATATTTGCAAATCCTTCTCCGTGATACACATGTACATCCGTTTTCCAATACGAAAACAATGATATTGATAGCAGCAAGATAGCTTGAGCTGTATTTCCTTTGCTAGCACCATCGTCGGTTTAGAGTCCATATTAGAGTCCTATTAGAGTCCCATTGGAGTCCATTAGAGTCCCATTAGAGTATTATTAGTGTTTGAACGCACCTTTTTTGGGTGCCTAATGCATTAGGCACCCAAAAAACGGCCCGGCATTGTCCATCGATTTCTCCACTCGTTCTTCTACTCCTCACGTTACAATCATCATATATTTACCTCGCTTAGTGCTGATAAACATAGACTATTTAATTCCCACGTAATTTCCCGGCCTACATTAACACCTCGCCGTTTAATCTTATCGGTTAAACGTGTTGACATGGTCCCGCTTCTCATGTGAAGACGTTTGGATACGATCTCCAACAGCTTTTTTAGGTTTGAACAATCCAGTTGTGGATTTAGTACCTCCAGAAGAAGCACTTGGCCCGCTTTCGACCCGATTGTGCGCGATAGCTTGAGTTTATCTGCAAACACTAAGCCCGAACTACTTAAAGTCAACATAAGATTATTTGCAAAGGCCAAAAGCAGAAGTGGACCGAAAACGGAGCGTTGCAAGACACTATATGGGACTGGGGAGGTCGTTAATTGTGTATAGGAAACTTTTATTGAGAAGGAATTCGCTTTCTGTATCTAGAAAACAAAGGGCCATACGATAGCCACATCAGTTAGGCATTCGGTTGATCATGGGATAATTTTCGGAT